AGAATTAATTTAAATATATCATTTTTAGCATGTATCATTGCATTCGATGATGTAAATAAAATATACATGAATATTAATATTATTATTAATATTCCAAACATGTGCATGTGCCTCCTCTCTTTACTCGCTTTATTAATATGCATTTTACAATAAATTATGTTATTTCATGTATACTATAATACATGTATACTATAGTAAAGATAAAGTTGAGATTCCGCGGATTATTATGAGAAATGGCAGAAGTTTCCCTCGTCATAATCCCTACTTAATGATTATGTCCACCGCATACGTTTAGAGCATCGATTTTTCCTTTCAACGATAAAATACATCGCGATCAAATGCATTGCACGCACTAATTAGCAATTCAGTTGGCACAAACATGGAGCGTATTTTAAGCGATTAAACCAATTAAAGCTTGATAAACCCCTCACGCTATCATTGTTTTATAATAATAATCCACGTACCATTGTTTATGCGGCAAATAATGCTAAATCGTTCTCTAATCCGCAAATAGCAATATTTTAAACATTTCTATTAGCACGTCACAGTTGTACGCAACACACACCGCTTTCAACAAATCTAAAAATACTATAATTTATGCCACATCCTGATGTTTTATTATTCACGAATGTGAATTTAAACGAAAAGACCTCCACCCGCCTCTTTTTGCAAGCCGAAGCCGCGCCATCCGCATTTTTACGCGGCAGATTTAGTAATCGCACAGTTTTCGCAATCTGGACTCCGGGACAGAGGCGGCCGGCGATATATTCCACCTGCGATCATTTACCAAGGACATCCTTGTGTGTTTATCCGGCTATCTAGTCCTGGCAAAACGTGTTTCACCTACGAAGGCCTATCGACCCCCTTTTATGTGATTTATTTTGTCGTAAAATGTCGGTGTTTTTTTCTTTCGCTTGGAAATTAGTGTGTTGCGCCAAGACGTATAAAAACATCGAGAAAACCTTTTAAGAATTCTTCTTAAAAAGCTATTTTTTTCCATCACAAAATATATCCACGTTTGATAATATGGTAATATCAAATAGAAAGACTGACTTATCGCTTCTCCATGTAAATGATCGTGAATTTAAATTTCAACATTTCAATTTAGTACTGTTTTAGTAAGCTTGAAACGACTCGTCATATGACTATTGGTATTTTTCTGCATAATGAAGATTTTAGAGATAATTATAATACTTTGCGCTTTCTCTTATATTTTAACGGGTTTCAGTATATCTTAGACCGCAAATTGAAAAATTAATATGTGTATCTTACTTGTGTTTCCTAAAAGTAGCGTATAGTTTCTCTTAAAAACGGCTACGCATGTAATTATTAAAATTTAATGTAAAAAAAGTCTGACCTAATTACGTCAGAGGGGTGTGGTGTTTCAAGTACGCGGAGTCATTTCGCACGTGTCACACTCCCGCGTAGTTATTTCATCATGTGAAATGAAAATCTTGTTAGAAACACATTAAAAATTGCATCTAACGTCGCAGCGCGGAATCTCATTCCCTTTCCTGGGCTCGCAAATTAGCAAGTTCAAGCGCGCGCCCGTGTTACGGGCAAAATTTAGATGTATGTGCAAAGTAAATGGCATCGGAGAAATTGCGTGTATATCACCAGTTGGCCTAATTGTATTCCATGGGAGTGGCACACTCGACCCACTCAGCTATGCTTTTCCTTATTGGCGATGCGACCGCGCGGAAACGCACTCAGCAACTTAAAGTAAAGTATCGATAGCATCACATGCAAACAAGTGCAACTTCGCAGACAGATCGGAATCTAATTTCTCATTTTCACAATTAAATAGAAAATACCATTTCTTAGGAAAACACATTAAGAAAGAATCGACTCCGAAATTGAACGATAAAGCTTGTCTTGAAAACTGTTGAAACATTATTTTGCGAGAAAATTTGCACAAAATTGTTATTTAAAGTGAAATAACAAAACGATTATTTGCAAAACGAATTGCACAGGCGAGATGTTATACTAAAATAACATAGAATTTTCCTAGATATATATTTTTATTCAGTACGCGGGAAACGTTACATAGAAACGCATTACGTGACGACATTACGGTGAGCGGCGATCTATATACATAGATGTTAAGATAAATATCGCAGCCCGCATCATCAAAGTGCCATTTGCATCGGAGGCTAACTCGCAATCGCTCTCTCCGCCGCAGTTGAGAGAATATTTCGAAAGATTCATCCACCGAGATAAATTCCACGCAAGACGACGTGGCCTAATTATACTTGAAGGGAGTGGCGGCCCGGCCGCTCGAAGATGTCGTCCCTACACTCTTGCCGGCTTGCACGGCTCTCCGGAAGCTCGGCACGCTCGTGGAGAGGATCCGCGCGCGGCGCAGGATCGGGCCTGCGTGTAACGCCGCAACGCCGACTATCGTCGCTATGGTTACACGCCGAGTTCTCTCACCCCGTGCCACCCCGCCGTGGACCATCCTGGCCTGCCGGGAGAGATGCAGGCTTTTCAATCCTCTGTACAGCCGCAGCGCCGGGGCGGCTCCCGCGCGGCGCAGACGTTCATTCCGGTTGACCCAGGTCGCGTGATAATCGGCACTCTCGTTTCGATCAGTGCGAAAGGTGTCACTTTCCCGTTCGTCGGATGCGTCAACATGTGAGGACAGCGCGAGGGAAGAAGCTGTTAGGCGGCGGCCGGGAGTGGCTCGGTCGAGAGAAGCACTCGATGAATCGAGCGTGGCCGCGGGAGGGTGCGTACCTTGAAACGCGAGTGACCTTGAGCGCGCACCTGCAAACTGGAGCAGGTGAATTGATTGGCGCTCGAGAGGGTGGGATCGCGGGAGCTCATCATGCGGCGTGGTTGCGTACGGCGCTTTGAAGGTTACCCGCGATACTCGTGGCAAGTACATTTGATGATGCCTTCCACTTGCTCGCGCTGATAAGAGATTGAAAAGGTGGAGAAGCTTTCGAGAGATCGTCGAAACGTGCGATACAAAATACGTAAATGTTGTAACGGCAGTGCAACGGCGTTGGAGCAACTCGGGAGAAGAGATTCTACGTTACTATCGTAAATGATAAAAATATATGTATGTTGAGATTTACGTAATATCCAATATATAATTGTTACAGATCTATACATCTATTAATGTTATATGAGATAACAATTTGCGATAAGGAAATATAGAAACGCTCGGTAATGGAATCTCTTGCTACGTAAGCACAATCCAAGTGGAAAATAAAGATTCCACACCATCGATATATGTATGCCACGTATAAAATATATACAGTACAAAATATAAAAATGCTCAAATAGTAGTAAAAGTTCGATAACGATAAAACCTCCTCCATTTTATCTCGATGCAATAAGGGTCGAGTGTTTTGGCTCGCGTAATCGAAGTGGAGCAAATTACTTTATGCCATACACGTTTATACGACACTTGACCTGGGAGCGACGTATCGATGATCCGCGCCGTATCCGGGAAACACGTTTGGCAAGCGTCGCGGTTTTTCGGAGTGGAGGAAAAAAAAAGGAGGAAGAAGAAGAGGCGGTGCCCCGGCGCTGTGAAGTGAGCGTGTCGGGCGTCGCGTCGACACACGTGGCACCGGATATCTGGAATCCCGCATCGCCGACAATTAAGATTAGTAATCGCACGAGCGCGGAAGGCCTTGTAGGATAATAAACCGAGCCGATTACGTCGGATCTTATTGATTTCCCTTTTCTATACACGTCGCCGACGTTCGTGGAGCGCGATTTATAATTTTTCTGACCGGACGTCGAAGACATTAGGCTGAAATCGACAGCGCGCGGCTATCTCTTGCCGCGGATCAACGTTTCAACAAAAAAGAAGGAAATTACGAAGATTGCGATGGAAAACTGACGGTTTCGCGTGATTGATGCCAGATATCATTTGCGTTATTGTTGTCGGAGCATTTGGCTGATTTAGCGACGGCGCCATTTGCCTAATGGACGATATATGGAAATTACGAGTTGCATAAAAGTTGCCTCGAGCACGATCTGCGCACCGATGACGAGCTCGAACAGCAGCTCGCTATCGCGCGCTTGGCTGCGGGCGAATTGCTGCCGCTGCGGCGACACTCGGCAGGACACGGCGAACAATAACTTGAAGAATGCTGAAACGCCGCTGCGGGAAGAAACGGAGACGCTTCTGCACCGCATCGCCTTTACTGTTTGGCACACTGCCCTCCATATCGAGAGTGAGGTGCGTGAGAATTGCGCGCGCGCGCGCGTTTATACGCAATGTTTCAATTTATCATGCTGTTGTTACAAACGTACTCGCTCGTACTCGTATTTTCTCACAGCTGCGGAGTTGATTATTTCTTAGCAGAAATTTGATCCGACGTTTATCCGGTGTTGTTTATAGAAAAATTAATTGAAAATCCTCTTGTCGAACAACGTTTCCTGTACGTTCAGACATTCGATCCTTTATTTCTCGAATAAAGCTTTCAATTTTAGTTTTTTTTACGATATCGCTGATAGAAAATATTTATTTTCAAATTTAGATCCATTTATTTCTCTCCTATAACGGCATGTGCATCGTAGCACGACTGTTCAATATAAAATATTTAATAGACTTTGACAGGTTTGTATCGATATCGCGATGCAATTGTCTTTTTAGGAATAACGAACGAAACGCGCTATCGCGGCACCTGTCGTTGCATAATTTTTCTTCGCAGCAACAATGGAAACAACTTACACCGTATATCATTAATTTCGAAACAATGAACAATAATGTCACCTACTTTTCTCGAGGCAACGCCCACGAAGTAATAATATTTTCTAAGCACCGAATAGAAAGTTAATAAGCCGAACTATTATCTATTCACTCGCTAAAATGCAACGCGGCGCTATTTCATAAAACAGTTAATAAAATTTCTTCCCGATTGATGTATTTTAGATGCGATTACAAAGATTGAATGTGTAATTTATTTTTGTATTTATTATTTTATTTGTTATTCAACATGCAAACAAATTAATTAATTGCTCTCTATTTTTGATTACAGCACAATGGCGGTTACGAATCACAGCCGAAAAATGTTAACAACATCATGCGAAACAAACAGCATCAGGTAAGTCTTTGTTTGCTTCCAACAATTATTTATGCAACGTGATCGGTTTCTCGTTTAAATTAAAAATTAAAATTTATGCTATTATCTGACGTAATAAATAAATAAATAAATTATAATATAAAAAATGCGATATTACCATTCGAATAAACGGAGACAGAAAAAAAAAACGAATGATTAATTTCGCACAAAAATCTTTTTCACGAGCTGGACCAAGGACATCTGTATCTTATCGCGCAGTTTATCGGCATCGATGAGAGCTCGATTCATTGCTGAAACTGTCTCTTTAAATATTTAATATTTAAAGAGGCATTACGATACAACCGGCGATACGCACGAGCGACCGGTTCTAGATACATCGTATCTTCGTTTATTTCGCGCGTGGTAGAATTACGCTTGCATTCGAAGCGCACGGGTTTTGCGCTCTCATTCGAATTCGCTTGCTCTGTCAGATAACGTATTACCCTGCAGGTCGCTCGAAATTATTTTTAACCACTCGTCGTCGTTCACCCAGCCCGAGCACCGGTTTTCGGAACGCAGGAACTGGACGACACGTGCACGACCTTTCCGAAACGTTGAACTCGAACTAGCGCTTTCCTCGCTTTTAAATGGAAATTTTGTCTCTTTATGCTACCGTATTTTTTTCTACGCACCGGAAGTTTTACGCCGACCGGCGGCTCATTACCCGCGCCCGGCATTAAAATAGAATTATAACCACGGAACGTTTTTCATCGACCGTAATTTCGGATCCGTACGAAATTCAGATTTGTAGATCGAAAATGTAGATTCACCGAAATGTAGATTCACGAAGTGTAGATTTCTGTAAATAAACGATGCGGGATTTAATTGCGTTGGAGATTCAATCCAGGAAATCGTGTAAAGTAGCGCGATTAAAATTCATGATAGTCATAATTACGTAGATCAAAATGAGACACGCATTACACAAACCGCCATTTACATCGTCGGTAGAATAACTTTCTATTAGACCGCGGCGGAGAGGGAATACTAATATCTGACTGCAGTAATCAGTAGGCTAATTACTCTCGTCCATTGGTCGTCGGTATTTCCTCATTTGCTATTCGCTAGGCAAATCCATTCTGTAAATCAGTCCACGTGACAGGTACGCAAATATCCATTTATCTTTGTCGAAACCTTTCTGGAAATTGCGAAAGTAATATAGAATAGAACGTTTATTTTGTTCAACTTCTAGTTTAAAATTCAGATTTACGTATAAAAAGTGAGAAAAATATTTTCAAAATTTTGTCGACCCTCTGACTCGTCCTCGGTCGGCGTGTAAATGACGACACCACTGAAAATTATTCGCTAAAATAGCAATAAGGCAACGCATTATACGGTTGGTCGGTATCAGCCACGATGTTCCACCGCGATAACCCGTACGTGTTGACGTCGGAAAGATAATGTATTCGCGAAACTCTGCACTTATTCGCGCACGGACCACCGTCATTACTGTGGAAATGTATGCGAAAAGAACGGCGACATTCGCTGGCGACCGCTGCTATTTTTGCGGAGAAGGTTACGCATTTTTACAGTGAGATTTCGAATACGGCAATGTGTTGTTTAAACTAAAAGCATTGTTTCTTCAGAATTTATTCTAATTACATACAAGTTATTATCAACTTATTGTCAGCGCGAGAATATTTGGAGGATATTGACGCCTTTTGTGAGAACAATCACCAAGGTTAATGTCGTATTTCACTTAACCGCGCTAATTGACCCGCGCGGATCCGTCCCGGAAATTATCATTCGTGATTACATCGCAGTTGTGGGCTGCGCAAAGAATAGCGAAGGTGAGCCGCAGTGGGAGGAGTGATAATTACACGGAACAATTAACCTGCGGTAAAAACTATTGCGCAGCTGGTATCGCGTTCATCCTTATTTCCCGCGACATTGAGGATTTTTATTGATTACTTTTGTTCACGTATTGCGTCGTATTTTTTAGCAAGAATTATACATAGTTTCTTCGCGATAGTGTAATGGCTTTCGTCAAATGAGTTCGACGATATAACCAGAACAGGATAATCCATCTATATTACTTTACCGGCCTTCAAATATAATCGATAAAGATTAAGCCCGCTCGCTGGAGCATTGTACTTCCAATTAGAAATTAACCGCGAGCAATTAGGTGGATTAACGATAATTGACATTAGTGGCGCGGCTCGCCGCGTGCATCGACTTCTCGCCCTCATAATTGCGCAAATTAATAGCGGGGATGATATAATCCCAACTTTGTGCTTGAATATTTGCACCATTCAATTCTCACTTTCTTAGATTTTTCTATAAGAAATTCTACGAGGAGATTTTTCTATAAGAATTTCCACTTCAAATTAATCCATGCAGACATTTTAAAGAAAGAAACGAGCACTTAAAACTTCTTAAAATTACGAAAGTCAAATCATGATTATTTGGAGTTTGTAAATTATTATTACATTTTGTATAATCTTATTATTGTTTAATTAAGCTTTTGGAATTTTTGAAGTCATAGGACCTTCTTTGACAATCCATTTGTTATAGAATTTAATTCCAAGCCGACAATATTATTACTCGCCGAATGTCTGACAGTCGATACGCAATATCCTCGTTTCGTGACTTTTAGTTAGTCGAGGCGGCCTCCTATGTTCGGATGAGAAAGGCCGAGGACTTTTAGAGGTACGGCGATTTCTGCGCGGCGACAGCTGCGGTAGGACCGCACGACGTAATAGCAATTTCACACGTGAGCCTAACGGCCAAAGGGATTTATGAGCGGGTGGGTAGGCTTGTACGCGAGAAACGAACTCGCGGCATTATTATCCCATAAAGCCAAGTATTTTTAGAGGTAGCCGCCTCGCTCTTGTTCTCTCATCCGGTTTGTTTCGCTTGTTTTTTTTTTTTGCGACGTATGTTTATTGTTGCCCGCCTTGTATATTTTTGGCCTTCAGACGCGAGTAGCCCGATGAATTCATCCTTCACCTGTTCGTGCCGCGTGCACCTTCTTTTGAATATAAATTGGTTGCGTATTTTATAACAGTAAAGCTTAGAAATCGTGTGTATTTTGTTATATTATTCATTTTAGTATTATACGGTATAATTTGTAAACACGAGTATCCACGTCGCTGGATTAGAATAACAGTTAACATGCACGAGCACGCCACAGGCATTGTTTCCACCGTGATAATTGGTTATAACATTATAATCCGACATACAAAAACGAAGTGCCAGTGTGCCACTTAAAAGGATCAAAAGCAGGGGATTGCTGAATAGTCGAAAATAATGTGCACATCAGTAAAGAAAAGCCAACTTGCCAGATTCACGGGTTGCATTACGCTTGTTAAGCAGCGTATTATCTATTCCGGATAAAATTTCTCGCCGGCGCATGAGAGCTCGGCGAGGCAGATAACATAAACAACGTACGATTATAATTCAGTATAAATCATGCGAATAATTTTCACCGGTGCCATTAATAACGAGGTGTCTCAACGGCGATAGTAGTCGACTGTTAAGGCCCTATAAATGGCTCTCGGCTAACCGACCAAGTACTTGCCGTCCGGTCGAGGAAGAAACCGCAGGGACTGCGGCAAAAACGCGGATACATCCGGCTCGTTCGCACGTCCACCACTCCATGTAATTTCCGCGCGTAATTCCTCCGCGCGACAAATCATCCGCGCGCCTTCCGCAACGCGCGTCTCGAAGTCCGTGCATAACATTGAGACGACCTAGCCACTGGCTCGGCCACCAGCACGAATGGCGTGACTCCTTCGGTGGGAATCGAAGTCACGCTACCTGCACGAATTCGTTACATCACGCGTCCACGCGCGAGCGCATTCTGCCATTCAGGGCCGCTTTAATACAACCGCGACAAGAAACGCCCGCGTTGAAACTTAATCGAGAGCTTCTTAATAAAACCTTAGCCGTCTAGTTTTTCCTCAATTTGGATAATTTACTGGCGACGAAGAAACCGTGGCTGAAGAAGTTAAGGTATTTAGTTCAAAGAACAGACTTGTCATCAAGCACGGGGTGGCATTTAAATCGAGAGTATACCAACGTATGTGAAATTAACGAATTATACAATTAACAAAATGATCATACGTATTCCTAAAATACTGCAAAATGCGTGAAATAGTTTCAAAATACACACTCGCAAAAAATGGAACACTTTTTAACAGCGTAGAGTTGCTCATGTAGCTTCCACGAAATCCTCACAAACTTGAAAGCGGTGTTTTGATACGCGGCTGATCCTTGTTCACCATCAATCATTACTTTTACAGCGTAGCTGTTTAATCAGAGCAGAATTGAAAATCCAGCTAATGACGTGCACCTTTGATCGCGTTGCGCAAATAAACGTCGCGAAATGGCGACGATGACGGTGGCAAAGCGGCCCTGGCGCGAGCGAGCTGGCACACGTCAGACGTACATGGCAGAAGGCGGCGCGATTATCTGGCAAAACCGCCGACCGGCCACTGGATATTCTTGCGTATCTCCAGCAGAACCAGGCGAAACACAATACCCGGCAGTGTATCGTTCCGCGGCGAGGAACACAGCGCATCATGCCGACGTATCTCCGCGTCCTCGTCTCTCGCGGGATAAACGCGCCGTTCCCGTTAAAGCGCCGGGATTACATGTCGATCTATTTCGCGATAGTGTGTCCTCCGTGAGGACATCGCCATGTCGAAGAACACCGTCGTCAGAATCGTCTACGCGCCGAAATGCTCCAAGGTGGATAGAACTAATGTTATTTGCAAATGGTTCCGCTAATTTTTATCGTAAATCTTTGCGGAAATTGATCTCTTATTTAGTTGTGAAATGGTGACAGCGTGTGATGTATAACTCAAGTGAATACTAAATTCCAATATTATTTAAATTATATAGCCAAAGAATATTTAAAATTCCAAATCGAATACCTTCTAGTGTCAGTGGGATTAAATTTGTAGAGTGCAACGAATATTTAAATATCGGATGCTTTATTATTTTTAATGTATTTTTTTTCAAGTTTGTTTTATTACGTATTATAATTTACTTATGTAAATTATGTTTGTATCGAAGTTGTTGTATAGGATGCAGAGACTAAAGAAATGATGAAGCCTGTCTTCTACGGAGAAAATTTGGTTGTCTGGTACATTGTTTTGTGCGGGAAAACTATAAGTTTTGCTGCAGTCAGAAACAAATCTTGCGGAAAGGTTTCTAGGTAGAATCGAATAAAACGAAGCTACTCGTGAAAAAGATTTTCTTCGAAACGAATTTAGACAATCTCATTCGCTACGACTGATGTAATTTCGTCACTAGAAGCGACTCTTTCAGTTCATATTTTACTGATGGAAATGCAAAAAGGACTTGAAAATGTGATTATTTTGGGAGACCGCACTTTGCAAGTTTACACGATAACACTTAAGAATTTTTCAATCATCCACAGTTACGCAAAAAATGCTTCTTTCGAGATAATAAATTATTTCTACATTTATAATTATTCTGGATTTAACCTACTTTTCGAATATCTGCTATTATATTTGAATATAGAATTTTGTCAATTTTTTACGTGCCAAATTTGAATAAATCATCGGATCACAGGTGCAAACGTCAGCGCTGGCGTCAACGCCGGCGAGGACACCAGGCGTCGGCGCGGATGCGACGATGACGGGATCGGGAAAGGGCGGAGGTCGCGTAACGGAGGTGATGGAGCTCTGTTACGTCACCGAGAGGATCATCGCCCTCTGGTACAGAGAAGATGCGCAGGGTGTCCTCGAACACGCTACGACCCTTCTGCGCGGAAAGCACGCCGATAATTACATGGTGAGAATTCCAATAATTCTCATGGCTTTTTTTTCTTCTGAAATAAAAAGAAGAAAGTATAGAAGAATATTAAAATTTAGGGTTTTTTTTTATTGCAGTGATATAATTATAGATCGAGATACTAAAGAAACTAATTTTGTCGAGTAAAATCTTATCTCTCAATTACTGGAACAATTTTACTTTATGGAACAAACTGCCACGATTGCATTTGATATCTGTTCAACCTTACTTTGGGGATTTTCTTGAAATTTTAGACGTACTGCTTTCAGATCTTTAATTTGTCGTCGCCTGGTCGACCTGGTGAACCAAATACGAGGGAAGCTGGATGGCCGCAGGGATTAGCACCAAGTTTGGAGAGACTGTGCGCTCTCTGCAAAGAGCTAGACTCCTGGCTAAACGGCGCTCCTAATCGCGTCGTCGTTCTGCATGCAAGGTGAATTTGCAATCTAGTCTCATCTTCTAATTTTTAACCAATCTTGAATTATAAACGAAAACACTGTTTAAGTTTGCAGTTTAATTTACGAGCAATTTTATTGAACTCCGCTTATTGCGAAAAAAAAGAAAACGGTGAAAAATTGATTTTTGAGGCAAGAAATTATTTTTTGAAGATACAAGCCGGATATTGCTTTTATATACGCATTTGTAAGCATAACCTAGTTTTTGTGCAGCGGATAATATTTAAACGGTTGATCGCAAAAGCCATAATTTTGCCGCGGCATACGTTCACCGCCCCCTCGAAACTGTGCGCTCGTAACTTCCCGTTAGTCCTTTCCATTCATCGTGAATAATAACGTCATTAGAGCACGATCGGCCCGCGGCGGAAACTTTTCGTATCCTACCTCTTACTTCGCGAAAGAGTGCGCAATCGATGGTGTACGCCACGTTCGCGGTACCCACGTTAACGTTATCGTTCTCTTCAGGGGCAGCAAGGAGCGGCTGGGTGTGGCAGTGTCTGCTTACATGAACTACAGCAGCATCTGCGGGGGACGCGATCAAGCGCTAGACAGGTTCGCCATGAGGAGGTTTCTCGATGACAAGATTGGATCGCTGCAGGTTCCGTCGCATCGAAGGTAATGAGAGAGAAAGAGCGAGGGAAAGTCGTGTGCGCGTTATTACCTGTTGACGTGCGACGTTAAAGCTCGCTTTATCGTATTCAAACTCGCGGATAATTCAGATAGCGTCGTAAAATCATTCGCGGGCTTGGCTTCTTGAGCGCAGAGTTCATAAGTTTATTACTTTTCAGTTCCTGTCTCAATCGAGAGAGAAACGCGATGCGCATTCAGTTTTACGCGCATATCATTCGTGCAATTTATTTTAATTTCCTTTTTCCTACATTATTAACGGTGAGTAATCGACCAGAAAATCTTATTTCGTAAGCTCATTTTATGATATTTCGCATTCGGTTGACTAATTTAATTGGTACTTTGCAGGCGCGTTATCTTTCTAGCTTTATTATTATTCAACTCTAAGACACAAACATTGGCGAGTTCTTTTATATGAATATTTTTAAAAATAATTCTTTATACTTATCTTCTCTGCGAAAGCTCCTTGTTAATTTCAAATTAAATAGAACGGATGCGACGCGTGCTCAGCTAAGTTCATCTACAGAAGCGATCGTATCTGCGTATCAGCGACGCGTGCGACGTTTATTGCGGAAGTCATTCAATTTCTTCAAATTTATATCGCAGGAAGAAGGAGCATGTAACTAGCCGGCGTTTATTACTGCGACGATCTTATTAAGAAGGACGCGTCCTCGGTTAGCCATCCCATTTGTTATTCCTTCTACGCGCCATCGACCTGAAATGTCGAGTCCTCATTATCTAGTCGTCATCATCCTCAATCATCCCTGCTCGTTTTCCTGCGTGCTCCTCTTACGCTATTAATCATCGTACTTATCCGACCATTTTTCCGTAATAAATTCCGGAATTTCGTTCGAAATTTCTTGGAACTTTCTCAAAATAACCCGGCGTTCGTCGATTTTGAAATTTGCAACTCTAATAATCGCTTCGTTCACACCATGATCGCAACACATTTATCGCGGCGCACTTGCGAGAGATCGCGAAGCAAAATGAAACTAACAAAATAAAATGATTGACCATGTTGCGCACTTCGCCGCGTTCTTGTTGTTTTGGGAATGTTTCTGTCAACCGGTTCTATCCGCGCATACCGATATGCACGAACCGTTGATCTAAAGATAGCGAGCTCTCATCATCATCATTGGCGTCTTATCGTTTACTCATCGCCACGTCGTCGTGT